TGGAGATGAGCCCACATCACCGCCTCTGCCTGTTGGAGATGAGCCCACATCACCGCCTCTGCCTGTTGGAGATGAGCCCACATCACCGCCTCTGCCTGCTGAGGAGCAGCCTTCTCCTCTAGTAGAGTAGCTTTGGATGTCAGCAGCCTTCTCCTCTAGTAGAGTAGCTTTGGATGTTTTATTCTTGTAATGAATATTTTTGTAATTGATTTTTATTAATTGATGAAATTTTTGAAGTTATTTGTGATTTGCATGTTTTGATGTTTGTTTGTTGTTTCTGTTTCAAGTAAATAACTTCGGGTAAAATAAAGTGACTTTAACTAACCCTAGGATCTGACTTCGGACAGAGTGAAATGAACAGCAAGGAAATTGACTTCGGGTGTTCATGAGGCGGACCTCAAGTATACAAATGAGAAAAGATAAAGTAAAGTACTTCAAAAGTAAAGTGTAATTGATTAACAAAATCGTAACCCAAGAAATGAAGTGATTGAATAAGTCACAATGAACTAGCTTCAGAAATAAGTGAAATACACTTCCAACGTATAGAAGGGTAAAAAGAACTGAATCACTTCGAATGTGAAGTGAAACTCATTAATGAGATAAATGAATTGAGTTCGAATACACATTAGATTGAGTAGAAAGAGAGAGAGTAATAACGATTAAGACAAAGTTTACTATAAAGAAGTGTATTAAGGGTAAAACTTCTTCAAGTTATTGACATTCCAGACTTTAGGAACCCTTTTGCCTTTAGTGTCCCGTAGGATATAAGCACTTGGGTGCGGCACTTCGGCTACACTGTAGGGGCCTTCCCAATTTGGTGCTAACTTTCCGAATTGAGTTTCGAACCCCGTTAGACCAGCTTTCCTGAGAACAAGGTCTCCTACTTTGAATGTTCGGGGTCGAACTCGTTTGTTGTAGAAGTTTGCTATTTTCTGCTTGTAGACTAGAGTTCGAAGTCGTGCTTCTTCTCTGACTTCATCAAGCGTATCAAGGTTCTCCCGAAGCAGTTGTCCATTTCGTCCTTCATCGAAATGGGTGACCTTGAAGCTTGGGACTCCTATCTCGATAGGAATGACTGCTTCGGTACTAAAGGCTAGATGATAGGGTGTTTCATCTATTTCAGTTAATTAAAAGTTTAGAATGTGCTTTACGCGTTATGCACATTTGATCTAAGGTAAAGCCGTAGGAGAAGAAGGAAAATAATATGAAAGTTAATCAAATAAACTAGGTTCGAAGTAATACCTGTGGCGGTTTGACTTGTGGTTCTGTATGCCAAGAGGACGTTGTTGAGCTCGTTTGCCCATCTGGCCTTATGCAGCTCTAGCCTTGGTTTTATCCCCTCGAGTATAACCTTGTTGACAGATTCTACAATCCCATTAGATTCCGGGTGGTACACCGAGGTGAACTGCAATTTGATCCCATAACTAGAGCAAAAATCTCTGAATGAGGAGCAGTTGAACTGAGTTCCATTATCGGCCACAATCTGATTCGGGATCCCATATCTGCAGATAACTAAGCTGAAAACAAAGTCCTCGACCTTTCTGGAGGTAAGACTGGATAATGGTCGAGCTTCAACCCATTTCGTAAAATAATCCACGCCAACAATCAGATGGGTTACACCTCCTACCCCCTTCATAAATGGACCTAAAAGGTCAAGTCCCCACTGAGCAAATGGCCAAGGTGCTATCAGAGTAGTGAGCTCTTCTGCTGGCTGGTGAATTAGATGTGCGAAGAACTGACATTTTTGACACCTCTGTACGAACTAAGTGGCATCTTTATACATGTTAGGCCAGTAATATCCTTGTCTAAGAACTTTATGGGCTAAAGTTCGAGCACCGATGTGGCTTCCGTAAACACCTTCATGCACCTCCCAAAGTGCATATTCAGCTTCATAAGGGTTCAAGCAGCAGAGTAGAGGGAGTGAGAAAGATCTCTTGTAGAGGACTTCATCAATGAGGGTGTACCAAGATGCCTTCTTCCTCAACCTCATTGCTTCTTATTTATCCGCAGGCACTGTGCCATCCCTTAAAAATGAAATAATTGGATCTGTCTAGCTCGGTGTATTTGGGTTTGTGCTGACTTCCATCACCCGTGGCTTCATGAAGCTTGGTTCATCTAAGACCTCCACAGAAACTGATCTGGAACTTAGAGAGCTATCCGAGGTAAATTTAGAGAGTGAATCTGCTTGTTCATTCTAAGTTCGGGGAATTTTGCTCATGCAGAATTTCTGAAATTTGCACTTCAGCTCGACCACGAGGGTTACATATTTCACCATCACAGGATTGACAACTTCGCAGATTGAGTTGATTTGATTCACTACCAGCTGGGAGTCACTGTATACTTGGATCGCGCTGATTTTCAACTCCAATGCTAGCTGTAGACCAAGTAGCAGAGCTTCGTACTCAGCCATGTTGTTTGTTGCATCGAAGTTAAATTTCAGGGCATGTTCACTTCGGTATCCATCTGGACCAATCAAGAGAGCACCAGCTTTTGAACCCTTGCTACTAGATGCCCCGTCAACATATAAGGTCCAGTCGTTGGGCTCCGAATCAGGGGTTGAAAGACATGGGGTGCATTCTACAATAAAATTTGCTAGTGCTTGAGCTCGGATTGCAGATCTCTGCTGAAATGTTATCTTGAATTCCCCCAGTTCTACTGCCCATTTAATTAATCTTCCAGAGCACTCTGACTTTTCCAAAATTTGTCGAAGAGGTTGGTCTGTGAGTATAATGATTGGGTGTGACTAGAAATATGGCCTCAGCTTTCTGGCCGAAGTGACAACTGCTAATGCTGCTTTCTCAGCAATAGGATATCTCAATTTTGCACCGTGCAGTATGCTGCTGATATAATAGATTGGTTTTTGCTGCTTGGCTTCTTCTCTCACCAGAACCGAACTAATGGTTTCATCTGAAATTCCCAGATACAAATAGAGATTCTCTCCATCTACGGCCTTAGTCAGTAGGGGTGGCGAGCTAAGATAAGACTTCAGCTCTTCGAATGC